TACTTGATAGTTAACACTTTGATTTTTCCAAAAATAGAACTGAAATCACTGTATTAGTGTTACACAGTACACATTTTGTATTTACTCTGATATCTTCATGGAGATTTTGAAAGTCTCAATTTGTATGTTTAACATAAAATAATGATTACTCAGTAGGTAGAAAGTGTTGTTTGATTAAACATTTCTTTTTTTTATTTGCTTTTCCATTTGATAGGAAAGAAATGAAACTGATGGTTTTAGTTTACAGGCAGTCTCCGAGTCACAAAGATCTGACTTACCAATGACTCAGAGTTAAGAACAGGAATGGAACAACATAAAGTGAGAGAAATCTATTCCTTGGAAAGGAAATTCACTCCTGAAAAGGTTATTAGGGGAGAAAGATGTCTCCACTGAAGCCTTCTCTCCAATCCTTGTTTTGACAACAAACATTTTTTTTTTCAGAATCTACAGGGACAAAACGTGAGGTGAAATATCCACAGAACTTATCTTGTTTCTAACTTGGGGACTGCCTGTAGTTGGTTTTATATAATTTAAAATGAAGGGTGTCTATAATGTAAATAAAAGTATGACTTTGTTTTTGTGGTGTCCTTTCACCACAAGTTATTGCCAATTGGATGTCTGCCTTTAGGCCCTATTGTTAATGTGTCTCTTTGTGCTTCGTAAATGAGTTGTTTGAAATGTCAAACATACTTATTGATTCTAATTTTCCTTGTGATTCCTTATTTTCCTTTCTGATGTTATATCTTTTCTATATTTGCTAAAGTGCTCTTTTTTCTACAAATAAATGTATTTCAATCCATTGGATTTGTTTCATCATTTTTGTTCAAGTGTGTATCCACACTTGCTGATGTTACTTGTTAATGTTTTCCTTGGGTAGGTTATGCAAATTTTTGAAGTGTGAGGAAAGCATTTGGTATTAGTTCATAGGTTTCATGAATTGGTGTTGAGTGGAGAGGGTACTTAGAAGTTGTCAAAGGATGGGGAAACTAAAGCTTTCCTCTTCCCCAGGATCTTCTATTTCTACGCCATGACAGCTCTGCTTACGTATTATGCCAAGTTGGGGAGAAAGAAGCTTTAATATTAACCTTCAGCTCCTAACATTACCAGATTATTTGTTAGCATTACTGGTATGTGGAGACATTTGTACTGTTTCCTTCAGGGCTGCTGGAGGAGGAGTTAATTTTATCTCCTTGCCATCCCTGTCAACTTTGATGCCATGGTGTCATTCTTTTGTGGTGGGAGACAAATGTGGGAGTCATGCAACACTTACAGGAGGTGGGAGTTTTCCACCCAACCTTGAAGACTTATTTCATTATTTACTATTAAAGAAATGTGTTGTAATTTCTTAATATCTTAATAGTAAATCATCATTCAGCGATAGTATATAGCTTAGAACACAGCTGTGGAAAGATGGCTACAGCCCCAAAATATTTCTTACAAGTAATTCCTCCTTTAAATTAGTTGTATGTTTTTCCAGCAGGAACAAACCTATTTTGACCAGATGTTTCATTCTCTTAATTGTGAATTATGGTAAATGCACACTTTGAGGTAGAAATTTTTGAAAAATTAAGACATACACAGACTTTAAGAGCAGTAGTTCTCCAACAACCGTACTATTGCCTGTGCTAGATTTAACAACATGCTTTTGAGTCTGTATTATATGTTGCAGTCAAACAGCTGTGCCCTCTTTCCTCAGGAGACTTAACTCTCTGCCTATAGATGTGTCAGGAAAATCTCCTATGCTCAAAACAAGGTTGGATTCTAAAAGACTTTGCACTGCGTGTTTTCCAATTACTGTAGTTCCTTTTTCACAATGTTTATACAGATAAACTGAAACTGAACAATGTTTTTAAGATCAAAATAGTGACTGGAGAAAGTTGAGCTCTGCATTCACTCTTACTTTTCATGTTAATTGGTTTTAGGGTTACTTTCTAACTATGCAGAAATGTTTATCAGACTCAAAGGTGTAGAGCAGGGGTCCTCAAACTATGGCCCGTGAGCCGGATATGGCCCTCCAAGGTCATTTACCCAGCCCTCGCTCAGGGTCAGTCTAAGTCTGAAATGACTTGAAAGTACACAACAACAACAATCCTATCTCATCAACCAAAAGCAGGACCACACTTCTCATTGAAATACTAATAAGTTTATATTTGATTTTTTAAAAATCTTCATTTTAATTACTGTATTATTTTAAAGTGTTTTTTGCACTACAAATAAGATATGTGCAGTGTGCATAGGAATTCATTCATGTTTTTTTTTTTCAAATATAATCCGGCCCTCCAACAGTTTGAGGGACTGTGACTTCGCCCTCTGTTTAAAAAGTTTGAGGACCCCTGATGTAGAGAGTCAGAAGAAACCCCTAGTGTCCTCTAATCCAGTTTCACTCTACTGTTGAAATATCTTATGCCCTAGATGGTCTAATATTTGGATTCTTCTTTTTGCATTGGTTAACTAACTTTACTTATTTTGAAACAGGAAGTTCTTGGTTGTTGAGTGGAATAAAGGTAGAGAATTATCTATGAAGCATGGCCATGTTCTTGAAAATGTTACAAGATGATAGAAAATATCAGTTGCATAGCCTTCTGGCTGAATATTTACATTAGGATGAGGGATCCATTGCAGAAAATCCATCACATTTGGTTTTTGCTGTTGTTCTGCAGCAAGGGTAGGAGGTGAACCATTTTTTTCTTGTTCTCTCCCTTTGACTAGAATAGAAGAAATTTTTAGTGCCTCAGGGTTGCATTGTTTCTAGGGTGTGTTGTGATAAGAAACAAACTTTGAATATAATCATTTGTACCTGCAACCAACACAGCCCACTATGTCCCATTTTTCCCCGATTTATTACTATAACAGGAGGTGAAAGGTCTGTAATGGTGGATATTTCTACCATCATGCAGAGTAATCTATGTTGATGTGAGCATTATCCCATGGCCATACTTCCATCTCTGACAGCGGCCAGGATCCTACCTCTTGTGGTCCTTCAGATGTCCTCTTGCTGGGATGGAGATTGTGGCAGTATTCCTCTTCGATCACATTGGATTTTTAAGTTGCAGGTCATCAGAAATATCAGGAGCTAGTATTCGGTATTGCACTTATTCATTTGTAATGTATAGTTATAGATCAGTAAATTATTTGTTTTCTCATGCTGGATCTACATTGCCATATAATCCAGTTTTTGAATCCAGATTATCTGCTTTGACCTATGTTATATGAGTTTATGCTGCCATATCAAAGTAGATAATCTGGATTCAAAAACTTGATTATATGGCAGTGTAGATGGGGCTTTACTGATGGAAGAATGGAAACATCTACCTTGCATCCTAATCCGAAGCTGAACAGACCTCTTTCCCATTGGATCAAACAACATTATTTATCATAGAATCATAGAGTTGGAAGAGACCTCATGGGCCATCCAGTCCAACCCCCTGCCAAGAAGCAGGAATATTGCATTCAAAGCACCCCTGACAGATGGCCATCCAGCCACTGTTTAAAAGCTTCCAAAGAAGGAGCCTCCACCACACTCCGGGGCAGAGAGTTCCACTGCTGAACGGCTCTCCCAGTCAGGAAGTTCTTCATTATGTTCAGGTGGAATCTCCTTTCTTGTAGTTTGAAGCCATAGTTCCGTGTCCTAGTCCCCAGGGAAACAGAAAACAAGCTTGCTCCCTCCGCCCTGTGACTTCCTCTCACATATTTATACATGGCTATCATATCTCCTCTTAGCCTTCTCTTCTTCAGGCTAAACATGCCAGCTTCTTAAGCCGCTCCTCATAGGGCTTGTTTTCCAGACCCTTGATCATTTTAGTTTTGCATATGTTGCTGCTATAGATTTCTGGCAAAGGAGTATCAAATATTGTTCCTATATTTCTTGTAAAGGTTTTCTAAATAAATCTACAGAATATTCTCTGTTGAGAGACGAGCTCCTTCCAGAATCCAAATGACTAGGATAAGCTTACGTCATAATTGTGTTAGAGCAGTTGTTTCCCAAATGATACCTTGGCTCTCTTCTTTCCAAGACAAGCTATTGTCAAGAATATAAAGCGCAACCCAAATGAACAAGACATACTAACGAAAAAATACACTTTACAGTTGAAGTAACCAGAATTTTTTTGTCTGCGAGGCAAAGAGGTCTCATCATATAGTCATAGGAAGGCCAAATCAGAACTTTTCCCCAAAATAAAGGTTTTGCTTGGTTTATCATTTCAGTTAATAAATTTAAAGCCAATTTCTGGATATCTCAGTGACAGATATTCACATGTGCATGCATTTTTTTCCATTTCATCATTTTTAATGTTTTTAGATTGTTAATGTTGGCAATCTCTCAGGTGCATGATACAATCTCCAGAAAACTTTCCATGTTTCTGATATGCTAAGATCACGCATATCATCTTCTAGAGCAGGGGCCTCAACCTTTTTTAAACAGAGGGCCAGGTCACAGTCCCTCAAACTGTTGGAGGGCTGGATTATAATTTGAAAAACATGAATGAATTCCTATGCACACTGCACATATCTTATTTGTAGTGCAAAAAACACTTAAAAACAATACAATAATCAAAATGAAGAACAATTTTAACAAATATAAACTTATTAGTTTTTCAATGGGAAGTGTGGGCCTGCTTTTGGCTGATTGTTGTTCTTGTTCTTGTTGTGTGCTTTCAAGTCATTTCAAACTTAGGTTGACTCTGAGCGAGGTCTGGGTAAATGAACTTCGAGGGCTGCATCCAGCCCTTGGGCCTTAATTTGAGGACCCCTGTTCTAGAGTATGTACAGCTCACCCTTTTGCGTATTAACATGGTGTAAGAACACACCCAGTTGACTTCTCCCAAATGCAGTCTATTGACTCTTCTGCTGATAGTATGTTTCATTCACTGCCTATTCTATATCTTAACTCTTAGATTGTAGAATTATATTTCTATTCTAGTGTATGTTTATGGATTCGGGGGCTGTGGTCAGACATTCTTAACCGATGACATTTGAAATGTTATTTCTCCTTATAATTTCAGGTTGAAGTCTTGGCCTCCGAAGATACTTCATTTGGACTCAAGGTCTGTAGATGATGAAGTTTTATTTTTCTAGGTGCCATTGATTTAGGATGGTTAATTTTATTTGTGGTTTTGTAGTATTAAACTCTTATACAAAAAAACTTGGTATCACTAAACTTAGCAAAGTTGAGATCAATAATATCTTAAGTTTAATAATCAAAATATTATAGTTATATAGTTTGCTGTTAATTCCCATTATAGCTTCCAAATGATAAGGTTTTTTGGTAAGAAGTTGGAAAATTCGAAAGTTTACCAAAAACTGAAAATAGCAACTTTGTGGTACAAATAAACAGATTCAAGAACAAATTTTAATACTGGTTTAGAGTCTTCTAATTTGTACCATTAAATTTCTATGCTAGTAGTAATTTTAGTTTGTAAAGTGGTTGATGGCTGGGCAGTTTTCTAATTGTCATTTTGGATTGTACTAAATCTTAGGCTGTTCTAGAGTTCCTACAATGGCTCTAGACATATTCTGACAGACATTGATTTAATTTATTCGTGAAACTATTGCTAATGAACATTATGGTATTGATCTCATTCTTACGCGTATGTAGTGGCAGATGATCCCATGCAAGCAGATTGTGTGTAGGCTATACAGCAAGAGAGAATGGTGAATGGGAGGGGAGTAGGAATTTGAGAACATGAGGCTAAGCCATGAGTTTCCTGCTGTTGAATATCCATATGGTATGATATTTCTGAAAAGCATAGCAGTGGCATAATCACTAAGGTAGAACAAGCAGTAGGATAGGAAGAAACCTTAAAATTCTAAAGGAAAAGCCATGCACAAAATTAATTCTGGTAACTCTGTGAAAATTCCAAATTAACACTTTAAAAGTTACTAAATATTTATGACAGCATGATTTACTATTGTTCCGTGTGTGGTGTTGTGATACCTGATAAACTGATTTAAAATAAATTATTAAAAAGAAATAGAGCTGCTCCAGTGTTATTTGAAGTATTTAACATATGGTATTCTGTAACATTTTCTAGTGTTTATTTAATACGCAGCATGCATACAGAACATTCACTGAATATTTAATAAACCTGGAGGGTCAACTCTTACGAACTCATCTCCATAATCCTTCATGCTAGCTGAGTAAACAGAAGTATTACTGAAGATTATTGTAGCCAATAGCTCTCATTGCCTGACCCATTCTGGAAAAGGCCAGGCTATTGTTTTATGGTTAAAGTTGCAAGTTGACAATGGTGTTAGGACTAATTTATATGTGACTCTAGCCATGGCTAAAGTGCTTACTGTATACTTGTGTTCCATCACATCTAAATGCACTTAGCACATGCATCAACACATCTATGTTTAGTATTAGTAATTCATTGACCCAGGAGGGCATACTACTGGCAAGCTGACATTGCACGCAAATGAGCCAATGCACATGGTAAGTGCTTTTGAAAGGAAAGAAGCACGTGTGAATTGCTTGCATGGGCAAGCACCAATGCCACACACATAAATTGGATTTAGCATTAACTTTGCACAGATTGCAGCTCCATGCTTCCTAAATTATGACAATACTATGAATCACTTCAAATTTTCTACTGTTTCCTTCCATGCAACTTTAATATTTGTACTAAAAGCTTGTATGGAGTATTCAAATTACTTTACAAAAGAAAGTCAGTACTTTCTTCCATTGTATGCAAAGTTGTTTGTGTAAACTATTTGTTTTCTTAAACGGTATGTAATGTAACACACCCAAAGATCAATCTGCTGTAGTCTGCAAACTAATGGTTACAGTGTTAGCAGAGAAAGCCAGACCCAAGAGAATTTCATTACGTGATGGCAGTCCGCCTTCTGAAAGCGATGGCATCCCCTAGATTTCTTCTCTTGAGCTGTTCTCCTTGTGATTGCATATAAACATATGGGCCATTTCACTTGCGCTCTGCACAAACCTTGTACATGAAGCTGCTCTGCACTGATCACTTCCTATTGTTCCACAATGATCAGCCATCGTTTTCTAGTTTTGACAAAACAACAGCAAAATAACTAAGTAGAAAGGTGGCCCTTTTTCTGGCATTCAGTATAATCCTAATTTGAATCACCTACATTACAGTGTCACATCTCCTTTGTCATGCTCATCTATAATGGGTGTCCTCATATTGTATTGTCTCCTGACTGTATGAAGGATTGTCACTACTACTCCATTCATGAGTCTCCTTTACAAATATATGTTTTTATTTTTATCTCATTCTGAGTTTTTATCATTGTATCTTGCACATGTGGCCCACTCATTGTGATTGTGTTTGATTTTTTATTGTATTACTTTGCATTGTTTGTTATATTTTATGTTTGTTTTATTTTATTTTATTATGATGCTGCCTTATGCTTTTTATGTTACTGAATTGTAATGCATTTCTGGGCTTGACCTCATGTAAGCCGCCCTGAGTCCCTTTCGGGGAAATGGTGGCGGGGTATAAATAAAGATTATCATGATGATGGTGATGATGATGATGATGATTATTGGGTTTTGTTTTTTTTGTCACTCAATTTATTGTGGAATTTATTAATTAAATCAACATGAAATCCCTAGAGGAATTTGCTCATCTGGCCTCTGAGTGAAAGCAGATTGATGCAAAGCGAGTCAGTGGTTTTCCTCCTATTGTTCTTTGTCATTCTCACTCCTCTCATAGGTTGTTCTGGCTATATCCTATATCTCTTCATAGATCAAGTGATTTAGTTCAGAAAGCTCCCTAAGTATCCAAGCCCTCAGCGACTCTTCCTTTCTCCTCACTGTTCTCCCCCAGCTTCAGCCTCCAATTTATAAAACCTGACCAGGTTGTACTTTTGTTACATTGACTGCCCAAACGATTATTTTATTTATTAATTAAACTAATTATTCATATATCCTACTACATAAGCAAAGTACCAGTGTGGTGTAATGGTACGAGCCAGGAATTGAATCCCCACTTGGCCATCATATTTGTGCCAGATATCTCTTTGCATCTTTTGGAGGAAAGAAAAACTGTACTATAGAGACAGCTTGTCTTCATCATGGCTCACCACAAAGGAAAGAGCAGCAGGCCTGAATGTGGAAGCACAAGGCTAGCACAGTGTTCCTCAAACTTTGCTCCTCCAGATGTTTTGGACTTCAGCTCCCACAATTCCTAACAGATAGTAAGCTGGCTGGGATTTTGGGGAGCTGAAGTCCAAAACACCTGGAGAAGTAGAGTTTGAGGAACACTGGGCTAACACTTACTAAGTAAGATATCTGTATACAAAATATAATATGTTTTAGGAACAAAAATGAGTTCGGTTATTTACTTTTCAGTGTAAGTGTTTCAAAATTATTTTTAAAAATCTTTTTCACCAGCCCGTACATGACAAAAGCGGAGACAGTTTCTCCAGGTTTTTGGCCCTCCAGGTCTTTTATGCTGTGAACCATCTTGTTCCCAAAAAAAGAAAAGGGTTTTATCTGTTTCCGAGAATGACCTCTTTTAGGCTTAGAACATAAAATCATAGAATTGGAAGAGACATCAAGGGTCATCCACCCCAACTCCTTGCTGTGGAAGAACACCCAATTAAAGCACTCTGGACAGGTAGCCCCAGCCTCTGCTTAAGTTTATAAAGATAGGAAGTGCTGCCAAACCTGGCCAAATTGTCTTCCATGGTCCCTGTGATGGTGGAAAAGGAGGTCTCTAAAAGAATGAGGAATGAGGCAAAAAGGCCTTCCCAACTGCATTGCAGTGTTTGTTCAGTTCCCAGCCCAGCAATAGTTGCCCATTTCTGGCATACATAAAGGAGGCATAGCTCACCTGGTGTAGAAATATTCAGTTTGAAAGATTAATCATATTAATAAATTTTAGCTGAATTTTGAACTCTTTGTGAGTGAACTGTCTCGTGTGTTTTAAACCACCTTGAAGGGAGCAAATGGACAATAGCTACTTCTGTTCAGATTATCCTGCCAGTCAGTATGGAGTGGTGATAAATTGCTTGTTTAGCTGTATTCTTTGTAATCAAGAAAGAGAACTGATCCCAAGATATTTCCGCAAGTGGTATCCTACTTCTCCACAATTCTTAATTAGTAGCCTTCCCCTTATTATGAAGGAATGTAAGTGGTGGAGTGACTGATATGAACGCATGGTGTATGTTAAATATTGTTGCTTGATTCATCTTCTGATAACTAAAAGCTGACTTGAAATAATTTTGAAAAATAAAGAGAACTGCTCCAATATTATTTTAAGTATTCTGCTTAACTGTTTGTAAAAAGCACAATTTATTCCCCCACTTGGAAATGCATTTTTACATATTGCATGTGAAAAGTAATAGGTAGATGAAAGACCTACCCTGAGAGAAACCTTTTCCATAGTGTTAAGTAGAAATTAGTGTAGTGTTTGGAAACTAATCATATACCATCATTACTTCATAAAAACTACTTTTCCTGTGAAGTATTTGGCAAATTTTTGCTTTAGCAGAGCAACTCAGCCAAGGCATTATAATTGCAGACATCAAATATGCTGTACTTGTTTTCTCATTGGTTGCTTTCCTTTCACTTAGTTTGCTCTCTTGTTTTTCTAGATTGTAAGACTTTTGGAAGAGCAATATGATCTGTTTTTCTGTGCCAAGTATCAAATACATAGATGACACAACATCAGTACTAGTGGCAATATCATCATCGTCATGTAATACTTGAAAATATTGTTAAAAACAAGAGATGCTTTTCAAATGTCATGGTTCCATAGTATTAACTAGGATAAGCACCATAATTCCCTGATTATTTTATATTTGAGAGTGTGTGTAAACAGGCTTAAGCATGATAGCCAACATAGTCTCACATAGTAGTCAGAGTATTTATGTATTTTCAAACTAGTCTCAGAATTTCTTTTTACCCAAAGAGGTACAGTGTCCACTCTTATATTTGCAAAGTCATCATTATGGCAGTGTGTTAAGAGTTTACAGATTATGTGTGTGCAACTCCCTCTACAGTATATTGAAATTAATAAAGAAGGCTTTATATTTACATTATAAAATATTAGCACAAATATTTCCTCATATT